TTTTCCATGCGGCGGAGGAAATTACAGGTCAGTAATAAGCTTGATCATGAGCTGAGAATTACTGATTCAACTGTAGGTTTGCACTTCCTTGAAGAGGAAAAAATGCGCACGTTCTTGTAACCTTTCTCGTCACTTTTATTTTAAACACACACATAGCCTGCAGCAAGATTTTAAGTTTGTACACAACAATACTCGGAATTTCGCTTTTAGATCGAACTCTAAAGAAACACGGGGAATTTGGCACCATTCTGTTTTAATATTAGCTTTTCGCCAAATTTTCCGTTCCATGCCTTTCTAGTTACCCCCCGCGGTAAAGTAAATTTAAAGTGTTTCTTTGCAGAGGAAAAGCCTACACTTATCGCCGATCCATGCTAAGGCAAGACTGCAACAGGACATCAAGGCTTCCAAAACTGTGGCCATTACGGTGGTGGTATTATTGGTGTGTTTCATTCAACCTGTTTGGTTTGCAGTATGGGATCGTCACAATCCTCATTCAACTAGCGACTGGATCACATTCTTAGTAAACTTCAGTCTTTTCCTGTCCAGTGGAATCAATCCCTTTATCTATTTTTTCCGAGCAAGAAGATTCCGTTTGGCTTTGAAGCAACTAATGAAAGATCCCTGTGGTAGAAGTTCCTTTCTTGAAACGATCAGAAGAGCGGAGCAGAAAAACCCGCGTAACATTACAGACCAAGCTACAACAGGCAAGGAAGTCCACGATAATACGATTGGAGAGGCGAAAAACAGAGAAAATGCAGATGATACAAATGGCCAGCGTAATGACGTAAGACGGTTATCATTCCGCCAACTAGAATCTGGAAGGCGAGTTGTCAACAAGGCATGGCCAGATACAGATGAAAATTTCCAGCGAGGGGAAAGTTCGGTTCATCTTGAAGAACGCCCCGTGGCCAGTGAAGAACACGCAAAACAAGGCGTCACGAATACAAAGCACAGAAAAGCAGAAGGACAAACAGCTGTCCGTTAATTTTCATACCAGGAATAATTTACAGTGTTAATAACATCAAAATCTGCACTATGTTTTTTTTACACCACACAAGTGAACAGCTAGTGCTTTTCACGCGTTATGATTGGTTAACTCGCAGGTGATAAACAAAGTGCTATTCACTTGCACTTCGGCGAATAATTGTTCTACAGACATAACAGTGATAGTTTGAGCTATTTTTTACATAAAAAATTTTATGTTATCAGCATGAAAGCTAAGGATAAAATATTGCAGGATGTAGTTCATGGTGGTTTCGCAAATTGTTAATAATTTTACAAAATTTCCATTTGCTATTTTTCTGAGCTAATTTAAGCTCTTTTACAATTTACCCTGAATTGTAATGCCACCTGCAATGTAAGAAACGCCATTTGAGATTTAAATAAATGCAAATGAGGGCAAAGTTTGGTTTTTCAACAATGATTTTTTTTTT